ATTTTGAGATTAAAATCAGAATTGTGACCTTTTCCTAATTTTGAGAAAAATGTCAAAATTCTGAGAAAAAATGTCAAACTTATGAGAAACAAAGTCATAATTTTGAGATTAAAATCAGAATTCTGGCATTTTCCTAAATTTGAGAAAAAATGTCTAAATTCTGAGAAGAAATATCAGAATTTTGAGATTAAAATCATAATTCAGACTTTTTCTTAATTTTGAGGAAAATGTCAAACTTATGAGAAACAAAGTCATAATTTTGAGATTAAAATCAGAATTGTGACCTTTTCCTAATTTTGAGAAAAATGTCAAAATTCTGAGAAAAAAAGTCGTAATTAAGACTTTAAATTCTGAGGAACAAAGTAAAAATTCTGACTTATTCCCAATTTTGAAAAAAAAATGTCTAAACTGAGAATAAATATCAGAATTCTGAGATTAAAGTCACAATTTAGACTTTTTTCCTAGTTTTAAAGAAAAAAAGTCAAAATTGATGACTTTCTCATAATTTTGAGAAAAAGGTCAAAAATCTGAGGGAAAAAACATCAGAACTCACAATTTCTTTCTTTCTTTTCTCTGAGACCCTAATCCTTTTCCATACTTTATTGTGAGCAACACATTCAGGGTTAATCTGCATTCAGCTGTCTTTGTGTGTGATTGTGTGCAAAGATGAGATTATACAGTAGGGTTATCTTGGYGCGTGTCCAGCGCCCGTGCATGCTGGTGGGTTACTTCTACGTGTTCGTTGCAGAGGAGATGGCTGAGGAGAGAGATTTCCCAACCAAGCTGCGYTGACACACATGGCCAGTGAAGCGTTCACTCCATTTAACTGTACAGCTTCTTCTYCAGGTTACAATAGAAGGTGCTGAGGCTCCCCAGCAAGAAAAGATGAAAGACTTGCAAACAAATATAGCCATGATTGAAAATGTATTGATTGGTGTTTGGATCCACAAATTACACTGTAGTGATTATCTGTGTGGGAGAATTTAAAAGCGTGACTAAATAATAGTTGCGTGGCGACCCTCTCCATCAGGATTCCTCGACACCACGCGAGTCACAGATATCAGTAGATAATGGATAAATCTCTCTCCTTCCCTTCCACGACCTGCTGTGAGAGGGCCATCTCAGTGAAATATGTCTTACATGATGAGTATTGATTGGGATGGGTACAGAGCACCGGGGGAAACCACTCTCTGTCCGGGAAGGTTTCATTTGCACAGGGAGAGGGTTTGACCGCACAGATGGGTTCACTGGATACACCAGAGCTTGTTCTTAACATACTGAAACACACACATATGGGTCTGTGTTAAASCAGGGACGTACACACTTCTCACTGCTCCGTCAAGTAGATTAGATAATTTGATGAAAAGGTCTAGAGAAGAATCAATGTAAATGTTGGTTTTCATTACCATAAATTACAAAAGCTGGCTGAAGAAACTCTTAAAACAGAAAACAACTATTTATTTTAGGCAGTTCGAATGCTAATCTAAAGACTTTTGGGGGCAACTGGGGTTTTGTTTGGTGATTTCTCCTTTAAAAACCCTGAAGACATAACATTCCTTGAGGAGATGAGTATCACCTGCCACTGTTAATTTTTCTYGTTAGCTTCTTAGCTTAGCTTCAGTCACAGTTGAGCTGGCGCACTGCATACTAGGGGTGTAAGAAAATATCGATACACTGAAATATCACGATATTTCATTTTCCGATACTGTATCGATATTCTAAAGCCCTGTATCGATTTTTTTATTAAGGTTTAAAAACATCAACTTTCCTGCCAGTCGTTCATTTTTATGTTGTAGTTCAGCCTCTGACCACTAGTTGGCAGCAGTGAGCCAGCCATTTGGCTCCTCTACCTCTTGAGCGCCAGAGAGTAAGGGTAGCATTAGCATTTTAAGTAAAAATGCAAGCATTTTAAGTAAACATTAGCTTTTCTTTTTTTTTTTTCAGTAAGAGGTTTTTATTTAATAGAATTTTTGGAGAAAAAAATCGCAATATATTGCAATATATTGCCTTGCTTACAGTATCGCAATATATCGGGATATATCGTATCGTAACCCCTCTGTTATGATATGTATCGTATTGCCAAATTCTTGCCAATACACAGCCCTACTGCATACCTCACGGCCAAACATTAGCGATTGGGTAAACCAGATCCAATCATTTTAAACTTCAACAGAGGCCACGCCTCCAGCAAGAAATTTGTTTCTCAATAGCCGAGGTTCCAGACCCCCGTGTACAACGCAAAATGTAGAACAAGGATCTGGTTTTATGTTTTTGTATTTAAAAATTTATTCATTTCATTTAAAAACAAAACAAATGCTATACATACAACAAATAATAATAATACAACACAAAAAAATGAAAGGTAGCTGAAAGAAGAAAAAAAATTCTTATTGATATTCAATAATAAATAAATTGAAACAATAATAGTCTTCAAATAATAAAACATAACAAAAACTAACTCCTTCTCGAACAACAGTCCTTATGAATGCACATTATACAAATTCATATTTCTTCAACAATGTAACTTTTATCATTCTCTTAAATAAATTTATTGAGTCAGCTTTTTTATAATCACTTTCCAGATTGTTCCACAGTCTTATTCCTTGGACTGAAGTACATCGGTCCTTCAAATTTGTTCAATTTTTGGGCTTTACAAACATCTCTATACCCGTAAGGTTATAATTACTTACTCTCTTAACAAAACTTAATTGAATATTCAGAGGTAATAAATGTTTATGAGCTTTATACATAACCTGCAAAATATTATGATCAACCAACTCATAAAATTTCAAAAATTTCAACTGACAAAATAATATATTTGATGGGTGACTGTAATGTTTTCTGGTGATAATTCTTACAGCTCTTTTCTGTAAAATAAAGATGGGATTTGTAATTGTTTTACATGCTTTCCCCCAGACTTCAGTACAATAAATCAAGTGTGGAACAATTATTGCATTATATAACATAAACAAAGCTTTGTCATTAAATAAGTCCCTTACTTTATACAATACTGCAGTGGATTTGGCTATTTTTGTTCGTAAGTGATTTATGTGAGATTTCCTTGTCAGCTTTTCATCAGTAATAATACCCAAAAACTTCACCTCATTGACTCAACAGATCTCAACATAATCAACTTGAAAAGGAAAATCAATAGTTCTGTTTCTATTACTGAATATCATATAATTAGTTTTATTCAAATTAAATGATAATGTATTTAGTTGAAACCAAGTTTGTATTTTAACAAATTCCATTTGCATCGTCCCCATCATTCGTTCTATATCTTTTCCTGAACAGAAAAATGTAGTATCACCTGCAAATAATGCACATTTAAGAAGCCCTGACACATTTACTAAATCATTCACATATAAAAGAAATAACTTTTGTCCAAGTATAGAACCCTGAGGAACCCCACATGTAATGTTGCCGAGTTCAGATCTTACATCATTAACCTGCACAAACTGTTTCCTGTTTTCCAGTACTAGATACCCACTGTAGTGCTGGACCTCTTATACCATTTTTATTTAACTTTTCAAGAAGAATGGTGGTGGTCAGTGGTGTCAAAGGCTTTCTTTAAATCAAYAAAAACATTAACACAATACTGTTTTTGGTCAACAGCTGTTTTCACCAGGCTAAAAACATCCTCAAAGAATACCTATTGTTAGGCCTAAAAGCTTTAATTTAGATAAACAGATCTAACATTTAAAGATTAAATCAAATATTTGACTTAAAAGTAAGCTAATGTTTGAGAAATGGTTTATTTTAAAAACTGCTTTTTGTCATTTTGTCATTTCCGCAGGACGTGATGGTCGTCGGCGAGCCCACGTTGATGGGCGGCGAGTTCGGGGACGAGGACGAGCGTCTGATCACCCGCCTGGAGAACACGCAGTACGACGCCACCAACGGCCTGGACGACGAGGACGACTTCAACAGCTCCCCGGCTCTGGGAAACAACGCCCCCTGGAGCAGCAAGCCTCCCGCCGCCCAGGACAGCAAGCCCGAGAGCACGGCGCCACAACCCTCACAATAAACAACACAAACAGCAGATAAAGGAACAGGAGATCCTCTGATCCACGTGGAATAGACATTCAACCCTCTCCCCCCGGAGGGCAGTTCTTCTACGCCACTTATTGTGCTGAATCAGAATCAACGTCTGCAAATCTACGTTGGCGTGTCGAGCCAAAACATCTTCGTCTGGGATTTTTTTTTTCTGCTCTGAATCATTGTCACATCTGAGAACTTGCTGAACTGCTCATAAAAATCCACAAAGAACAAATGCATACGAGTTGTATGTGACTGAAATGTAAAAATAGTAAAGCAGGCGTGGCAATTTTTTTATTATTATTATTTTTTAATTCTCTTCTTTCAATGAACGCAGTGGGAAAACTGCAGATCAAATTCTCCTTCTTTGGACCCTCAGATACAAACCTTTTGTCTGGTGGAATACCTCAGCTGTGATTGGTTGACCTGCAGGTCACAAGTCATCACGCTGATCGTGAACAGTGGGGAAGGAAAAAAGAGAAAGCGTAAAAACAACAAACAAAATGTCTGAAATGGAAAGCTCATGAAGGGAATTCAGAGCCCGTGGAAGGATCCCACCACGTTGGACACAAATGAAACGTTGGAGGMAATTGCATTTTTATTGGAAATCCAGTCGGCCGTTGGTTTGTTTCTACTGTCGCTTTAGTTTCATTTCCAATTAAGTGGAAATAAAAGTTCACTAACCACTATGGATGCTTTTTTTTTTTTTCAGAATGAGGGGAGGTCTTGTCCTGGAGATTATTTTTTTTTCTTTTCACATTACGGCAGTCCTCACAGATTATAATTTCATTCGAATCAGTTTAATTGTGTTTATAGTCTCTTGGTATTTTTGCTTCTTTCAGAACCCTTTGCAGTCACATTGTAATTTTGCCGACCAGTATGTGAACTTGGTCAACATACGTTTTCACTTCATTGTTTCAATTTGTTTGTTTTTCTTCTTCTTCCTGGACAAYTGGACTTCTTTCCCTTTAATGACCTACTCCCAAACTGAAACTAAAGCCTTTTTCCTGCATGATTTTCTATGAATTTCATTTGGTTTGATATGTGTGCTTTAAAAAAAAATCACATCAGTTGGATTCTCTCTTTTTTTTTTGTGTTCATCAGTTTGGGAACACTGTAACAAGGTTTGTAGCTCTGTAAATAGAGGTGGAATCTATTTTGTCCACTGTAAAATCAGCAACTGGAAGCAGTTTGGATATGGCAGCTGTTTGGGTTTTTTTTTTTTTTTTTGGCCTTATCTGGTAGGGTGGTTTGGATGTAGGTTTTGTTTTACCTTCTTATGTTCTCTGTCTTCTCTTGCTAGTGCAGAACCAAAGCCACAAAGGTAAAAAAAAAAAGGGCCACTCAGTCACACAATCAGATTTTTAAATATTTGTGACAAACTGGTAAAGAAAAGATTTTATAATTTAAAAACAAGAAAAATAATCCCATCCACCCTACAGAAATTCATCTAAGACTCTTGTATTTGTGTTCACATTTTTTTTATCTTTGATTGAATTTGACTTCAGTAAATCCCTGAACTTTTGTTGGACTTTTGTTTCAAAAATGGACAAGAAGACAGTGACGCAATGTCTTTATACAATTGGATCTATTGGGTATTTATTTGTGCATTTGTAAGGAAGCCAACACATTTCTAAATATGTTTGAGCCTAGTATTATTAGACACCATTTGTACATTATATAGCAGAGGTGTTCAGTGTCATATCTGATATCTGGTATGTATGCTTTACCATTATGTGTGCCAATAAACCGTGCTTACAAAGAGGCTGATTTTGGCTTGGTTACATACACGTTTTATGTGTAGATGGCCATTTTTATCACCTAAAGGTAAAGGTAAAGGCTTTATGTTTTGCCTGTACCTGTATGTCTGTATGTACCATTGGCAAAATACCCCATAAACCACTGGATGGGTTTATGGATCAGTCAACAGCAGCATCTGATCAATATGTGATCCATGATCTGATGTAAATGTAACATTTTCTACATATAGGTCAAATTAATCACTGCAATAACTCTGTTTTTGTCACTTTTACAGTGGATTGCATCAACTCTGTTACATACAGAAGGGAAGCTTCACAGAAGTGAAACATAAATCTGTTTATCTGTGTTTGATTACTCTGSCTGSCTTTCACAAGGAYCAGGATGTGGAGGAGTCATTTACAACACATACTCGAAGAAAAAAAATGGCAGGTTGGCGTTCCTGGATTGCGATGTCTCTGTTTCGGATGGAGGACGGTTGGAAACTGGCGTGTATCGTAAGCCCACCCACACAGACCAATATTTGCGTTTTGACTCCCACCACCCACTGGAACACAAGTTAGGAGTGATCAGGACTCTGTACCACAGAGCAGACAGTGTCCCTACAAACCCAGGAGCCAGGGAGAAAGAGAAATCACACACACGACAGGCCCTGGAGCAGTGTGGTTATCCTGACTGGGCTTTCCTGAAAGCAGAGAGGAAATACAGACAGGATTCCATGCAACCTTCAGGTGAAAATGAAGACCCCAAACCCAGACCCAAACCRGTGGTTATTCCGTATGTTGCGGGTGTTTCGGAGAAACTGAGATGTTTATTTTCTAAACATGATGTCCCAGTGGCTTTCAAACCCCAAAACACATTATGGCAAAGGCTGGTTCACCCCAAAGATCCGGTGCCCCGGCACAAACAGASCAATATTGTATATGCTGTTAAGTGCCAGGAGGACTGCGACCAGTTATACATCGGGGAAACAAAGCAGCCACTGTTCAAAAGAATGTCCCAACACAGACGAGCTACATCTAATGGCCAGAACTCTGCAGTTTTCACTCATTTACAGGCCAGCGGTCACTCTTTCAGAGATGAGGATGTTCTCATTCTTGATAGAGAGGAACGTTGGTTTGAGAGAGGAGTAAAAGAAGCCATTTTTCTGAAGAAGGACCGTCCATCATTAAACAGAGGTGGAGGCCTCCGTTTTCAGTTGTCCCCCTCCTACAGCGCGGCCATTGCCAGTATCACTCCACCCCCTGTTAACAATAAGTGTTAATTAGGTGTCAACGATAGCCATGTGATGTGAGTATCAGTCACATGGAGGCAGGGCTTAAAAGCCTGAATTTGCCTGAAACTCTCAGACTGAAGAAGTCTCTTGGAGGAGAGACGAAACGTTTCATTAGAGAAGAACCCGTCCAGAAGACCTWTACAATTTTTTTCTTTTTGATTTTTTACCTGGATTACTGAGATGCATCAGGACACACACTCAAAGAGCTAACAAATCAGATATTGCAGTCTTGCATGGAATCATGCACACTTGTTTTTTATGATGTTTCAAGGTTTGATCTAAACTGTAGAACTCCGTAAGACATTGATATGAAAGGCAGCGGGTAATGTGCATTTATTCAATGAATGTTTGATTTTATTTGTTTAGTAATTGATCAATTTATTCCAAAGCTGCAGAATTCATTCTACAGGAAGTTCATCAGCTGCTTCAAGAATAATTTCCATTACTTTGCATATGATAAAGTCGCAGGTGACCTTGCAGATTTAAAAATTTAGTTTTATAATGAAATGCTGCAGTGTTATTATGGTTAACAACCTTACTTTAGCTGTTACCTTGCAGCATGAAGGTGAATGTGKGCTGCAGGTGTTCTCGTCTCTGTATTGTTCCTGTGATGGACAACCTGTCCAGGCTGTGAGGCTCCAGCCTGGACAAAGCAGCTGTTGAAAAGACAAAAAAAAAAGAGCAATATTGAGCAAATATCAAGGCTATCTGGGTATAGTCACAGTCACATAATTAAATTAGATAATTTTCCCCTGCAGAAAACATTCCTGTGTTTTTCCCCTCTATATTTTTTCTCTTTTTCTTCATACATCAGCAAACAGATTTATCATTGTTTACGTGTACCCTAATGGGATCTAATGACAGAAAATGACTCATCTTCTTTGTAAACAAAATATTCCTCTTTCTCCTGCTGCTTGATGACATTTACTGATTATTCTAGGAATGCTGGAGCTAAATAAACAGAATATTATTTTTTTACCCCAAAACACAGAGAAGACCAAGATGCAATGTACGATTCAGAGCATTAAAATTATAGACATGCCCAATATTTAAAGACATATGGCCATTGTGGATGTATATACTAAAACATTAGCTTGGTATAATAAAAGCCTCAGGTTATGCTCATCTTGTGCAAATATTTTTTAGAAGTTAGAATTCAGTTTTTTGTTTTATCTTATAGCCAACATCTACATTATTTATATTATGTTGCTCATGGTTTGGTTGACATGTTCTGTGTGGAGATCTTTTTATTCAGCAGTGTTTTTGAACATTCTGTACAATCTGAGGTCAGTTTTTTCTGTGTATGTTACCTCTTAAAAAATTAATGTTTTAAGCAGTACCTGAATAATTTATCTGAATAAAACGTGGAATATTGTTTATATTGGAACATGAATATACTGTTTATATCAAAGTTATGATTCAGTAGAAAGACGCCTGTTGTTGGGTAGACTTTAAATCCCAGGTAGTTTGATGGAACTTCAGCACCACCAGGAGGATAATTGAGGTACTGCAACTATGTTTGCCATAATTAAAAAAGAGGTTTGACAAATTTAAACTTGGCAATAAAAAGTGTTTTTATTTTGAAACCTCAATAATTGTTCCAATATTTTATCATGTTTTTGTTTAAAGACTTAAAAGTTATCATGATTCATAACTTTAAAAAAAGAAACAACACATCATGCCATTTCATTTAACCAGTGTTGTATAAAGTACCTCACAGTGATACTTGAGTAAAAGTACAAGTATCTTATCATGAAAATACTTTGGTAAAAGTTAGTC